GGAGCGCTGGCGGATGAGCGCCGCGGTGGGGGCGGCTTCGGCGCGCTCGCGGCGGGCAGCGGCGCCTCGCCGCCGGAGGGCGACTGCGTGGTGCCCGGGGTGGGCGCGGCGAGCGGCGGCCGCGGAGGCCGCCCGCGGCGGAGGCCCGTACGGACCAACCCCCAAAAGAGGAAACGATTCGTAGCACCCGCAATCACGGACAACGGTGAAGGGGCGCGCGCGGGGTGGGTCGCGGATAGGTCGCGGTGTGGGTCGCCGGGCGGGTCGCGGGTGTGTCGCGGGGGGCACGACAATAACGAACGAGCAGATTCTGAGCCACGGAATCCGTTGTCATCCACGCACCCAGGGATGGTGTAAGACCGTTCGGCCCCTTCACTCTTACCGAAGCCCGTACTGTTTCCTTGTTTTCGCATTGTTCGAGCTCCTGGGAACCCCACGCTTCCACGGCTGGAGATTCGCCTCGAAATCTTGGTCAGTGTGCGTCCCAGGAGAGGTCCAGGGAGTGGTGGTATCGACAACTAGCTCACCCAAATTAAGGGGGAGTCCCAGCCGAACCAAATCGATTCAGGTTTCCCTTCAAGGTCCCGAGTAGATAAGGTCGGAGGATCGCACCGCGTCTCCTATGCATTTGCGGTGCGGCTCGATGTGGGGCCCGATGTTTTGCACGCCGACTTCGTTGAGGCATTGTCGACGTCGCCGATGGATCGGCGATGCATCGGCGACGCGGCGCGATCCTCCGGGTCCATCTTCTCGGAGCCCAATTGGGCAGCCGCCAATCGTTAGGGACGGGTTTCGCCGTCCTGGGCCTCTGGCCGCGTTTTGTAAAGCCTCGGACGCTTTCCAGTCCTGAAATGCTTTCCAGCAACTGCCCCTTGCCAACGGCGTTACTTTTTTTGAGGCCCACTGCAAGCGCGGCCGAAGCACGACCACGGAGCAGATAGCAATCTGAAAACTCGCCGTGGTGCCAGTCACCACCGCACGAGCTCTGACTTCATGAATGCATTGGGCGCACTCGAGTCAGCGGTGTGCGGCATCACCAGTGGCGCCCACACGGGGCACCAACCTGGCTGTGCCCCCCTTGAAAGGGGGAGACCACCGAAGCCACTCCCTCACTGCGCCCAGGCGTGCCGGCGGCGTTCCGGGGGTGCCCGAGACGTCTCGAACGGCCGCCAGAGAGCCCAGGTATGACCCGGAGGCCAGACCCCATCGCGCTGTGAACCCATCACGACAGCAGGCTCGGACCAATGTGTTGCGCTTGGGGGGCCAGTTTCGGGCTCCAGGCTCCGTCAAAATATGGCTCGGGTTGGGAGGCCGTCCGCAGGGAAGTGGTCGGGTCTTCTGAGGGCCGCTTATGGGAAAAGTCAAGACATGGGAGCCAGACGTGCGATGCCTTGATTTTCCACTGCGCGGTTCCCAGAAGTCTCGTCCTTTTCCCGGGTCGGGCTTTCCATCCCCCAATTCTGACCGATCCAATACATCCGCGCGGAGTTCCGAAAGTTTATTTTTATCCCGCTGTTCTTCCTGTAATGCAGTCAAGTCGCTGACAAAAAGGGACTGATCCAGTTCGGGAGGAACTTGCTGTTCCTTGAGGCCGTTCATGGTTGTCCGTCTAGCGCTCCTCGTGCCTCGGGGCGCTCTGGGGCAAAAGAAGAGCCTCGTGCCTTGTTTCAATATTTTCCCTTGTGGTAGCAGAGTGGCTGTGAGTGCTTCTACTGTATGCGCGTCGGCCCCGCATTGCAGACGCGTGCTCAGTACTCTCAAAAGTTGGACAGCATAAACTCTGTGTCGGGTGATTTCTGGCCGTGCCGTCTGAAGAGCAACATTTGATCATCCTAGACAAGTGATGTCCTGAATTTTTTTTTGAACACGCGGCCTCCAGGAGGTCGAAAATGGCCAGGCACATTATCCCGTCGTGATTTTGGTTTCCACGACGCGAGCATTGTCTGGGATATTGTTGTGCTGTATGCTTCGACCAGACCCGCGCCTCCAGGGAGGACACGTGGTAGTCCTCGGCGTTGCATTGCGCCTTGGCGGCAGATTCCAGCGCTGGCCAACATGTGTTGCACCAAGACTTCTCAACCTGTGTATGTGCTGTGCCCCGTCTGCTCGTTCTCCTCCTCCTTTTGTGCGTCGTCCTCTTGCTGTTGATCCTCCTCCTGCTCGTCCTGTTAGTTCCTCCTCGTCCTCTCGAAGACGTAAAGCGGCATAAATACTAACTTTTAGCGGCCCGCGCGATTTTCTTGGGTCCCATGGCGGCGCCTCCGGCGCCGCCTCTTACGCTCCGCGCGCCAGGGAGGGGGGTCCAGCGCAGATCTAAGAAATTCGCGCAGAGCGCCGAAAGATTATGTTTTACAGTTTGTTGTTTCTCTACTTAGCACCCCACAGTTGCGGGTAAGAGTGAGGGGGCGTCGGGGGCGTATGCGGTCTGCGAGGCACTGAAGAAGCCCGCCGCAGGCGCCGATTTTTCGTTGAAGCAATGTGGGTGGGTCGCGAGGTGGGTCGCGGGTGGGTCACGGGTGGGTCGCGGGCTGGGTCGCGGGCTGGGTCACGGGTGTGTCGCAGGTGGATCGCGGGTGGGTCGCGGGGTGGGTCGAGGGGGGGTCGCTGGTGGGGGTCGCGGGTGGGGGTCGCGGGGTGCTTCGCGGTGGGTCGGTGGGTCGCGGGTCGGTCGCGGGCGGGTCGCAGGTTGGGTCGCGGGTGGGTCGCGGGTGGGTCGCGGGCTGGGTCGCGGGTTGGGTCCCGGGTGTGTCGCAGGTGGATCGCGGGGTGGGTGGCGGGGTGGGCCGCGGTTGGGGGTCGCGGGGTGGGTCGCGAGTGGGTCGCAGGTGGGTCGCGGGTGCTTCGCGGGCGGGTCGCGGGGTGAGTCACGGGTGGGTCGCGGGTGGGTCGCGGGTGGTTCGCGGGGTGGGTCGAGGGTGTGGCGCAGGTGGGTCGCGGGTGGGGGTCGCGGGTTGGGTCGCGGGTGGGTCGCCGGGCGGGTCACGGTGTGGACGACACCAAACAACAAACAAACAACAACAACAAGAATCCGCATCGCGGAATCCTTTTCCAGCCACGCACCCAGGGACAGTGAATGACCGGTCGGCCCCCTCACTCGGATCCTCCTGCTCCCCATCTTGTCGTCCTCTTGCTCGTCCTGTTAGTCCCTGCGTCCTGTTTGTTCCTCCTGCTCGTCCCGTTAGTTCCTCCTCCTCCTCCTCCCCATTTTGTCGTCTTGCTCCTGCTCGCTCTGCGGCTCAGCCGAGGCCCTCGCAGAGCACCGGCACCGACCGCTTCACGGGCGACCTGCTCCAGTCGTTGCTGCCCACCACGGAGGGCCTCACGCGGTTCCAGTCCATGTCGTCGCTGCAGCCGAGCGGCGACCTGCCGGACTACGCCGGCGTCCGGTCGCCTTTTGGGTGGGGGAGGCCCAGAAGTGTACCTCGGATGGGGTATTTATCAGTGGGGGGGGGATGAACCTCCAGACTGAGCTTGCCCAATCCCGCCCCCCTCCGTCCTCCTCCCCCTCCTCATCCTCCTCTTCCTCCAACCCCCCCTCTACCCGTGCCGACAGCACGTGCCCAACCCCCCCAGCGGATTCAAAGGGGGGGTGATGATTGCGCCATCCAGAACAAGCATTGTGCAGCAGTTCCGAGGATAGGAGGCAGCTCCTTTCCAGACGTCAGAGGAGGAAAGGGTGCCCATACCCCATACCGCTACCCTTCGCCCGTTTTCCCCTTTCTGGGCCTCGGGGGAGGCCCTCGTCGCCGCCGCTGGATTCGCCTCGAAATTCTTGTCAGAACGCACCCCGGGAGATGTCCAGGAAGTAGCGGTATCGGTACCCTTTGACTTCCCCAGTTCCGCGGATAGGAGGCGGCTCCTTTCCAGATGGGCCTCTCGTATCATACATACTTCCTGATGGGCAGCGCCTTTCGCCGTGGGGATGAAGTCGAGAGTGGGAGTAAGGCGCGCTTGGTGGTGGCGTCGATCCCCGAGGGTCGGTCCTCCTCGAGGCTCGAGGATTGATGTTTTTCTTGCTGGACATGTTTTGGGCCGCTTATGCGTTTTTTTTTCTCGTCGCCACGGCTGGCGTCGCCTCGGGATCTTGCCCAGCACGGGCGCCAGGAGAGGTCCAGGAGACGATTTTGTGGAACTCCAGCTGGCCAGAGAGCCGAGACCTCTCGAGGATCGAAACTGTCCTTGAGGTTTTTGTGTGTGCAATCGACTGGGAATATTTTTCTGCCCCCTAGGGACATCAAAAACGGTTCGAGACGAAAAGACAGTTGAAGGGAAAGGATCGAGCGGTTCAGGTCCCCGAGATTCAAAACATTCCAGTTATTTGCGGCAAGTTCTGCCACTGTGCCAGCCCAGCATTTTGGGTGGCGACTGTTCAAGGGGCACGGGAGGCCGTCACGTGTGAGACCTCGTGTCTCCACGCTTAGGAGAGCCGTGATGAGGATTATGAAGATTATGCGGGTGATGGGGGCGATGATGGTGGTGATGATGATGGTAAGAATGGTGATGGTAATGATGATGATAGTGCTGATGCTGATGATGATGGGGTGATGACGATGATGATCATGATCATGATCATGATGATGATGATGATGGTGATGGTGATGGTGATGGTGATGGTGATGATGGTGATGATTGTGATGATTGTGATGATGATCATGCTAATGATGATGGTGATGGTGGTGGTGATGATGCTGATGGTGGTGGTGATTGTAATGGTGATGATGGTGGTGACGGTGATGATGGTGATGGTGATGGTAATGGTGATGGTGATTGTGATGGTGATGGTGATGATTGTGATGACGGTGATAATGACGATAACGATGCTAATGACGAGAAGGACGTCGATGACGACGTTAATGACGATGATGTTGAGGAGGAGGAAAGTGGTGGTGATGATGGAAACGATGTTCACAACATGATGACGATACTAATGACTGTGGTGATGACGATGACGACATGGATGATGACGATGATGCTGGTATTGTTGATGATGGTGGTGATGGTGGCGTTGATGACAATGAGGATGAGGAGGAGGAGGAGGAGGAGGATAGTGGCGATGATGATGGAAGTGATGATGATGTCGATGATATTGATGGTGGTGATGATGAGGAGGATAATGATGAGGTTGATGATGATGATGACGATGCTGGTGATGATGTTGATGATGTTGCTGATGATGACAAGGATGATGATGCTGGAGATGGTGATGATGATGGTGCTGATGATGATGGTATTTGTGCCCCACGGTCATGACCCGACCTCGTCATCCGTTCTCCGCTCTGTAGCGCTTTTTGGTTCAAGACAGGAACCATATGGAAGCTCTGCTCTTCGGCTTCTCGACGATTCGCGAGCTTGCTTTCCTTCGCACTCTCCTGTGGCCTGCACCCGTCGAGTGCTTCTGTGAGGCACCACCCCCTGTGGACACCGCCAGCGGGGAGTGCCGCCTCTTGGCAGAGTTGGTCGGCCGCGCGAACCAGTGCGTCTGCCAGTGTGACTGCCATTGCCACTGCAAGAGCGTCGACGGGTTTGGCTTTCTCAGCGTGCTCGTGCTTCTGACGATCTTCTCGTTTACGGCCTTTGTGTTCGGACTGGTGTTCGGTCGCAGCTCAGGGCGCAGGAGTTCGAGTCCTTCTTCATCGTTTGACGACATTGTCCTGACACTCGCGTGCGAGGATGGCGACGCCAGCGTGGTTCCAGGCAGCCCGCCCCTTCGACCGGGCCCTCGTCTGCTACTTTCAGGGCGCGGGCGGGGCGGCAGTGGAGTGGCATGAGCGCGTCCTGCTCGGCCAGGTCAGTGGCTCCAAGTGGGTCGCGATCTCGCGGGACTTCGATATCTTTGAGGAGGATTTTGCCGAGGCCGAGGGGCTGCGGCAGTTTTTGGCCAACGGACAGCTGCCTGCTTCTCTTCCTTCCTGATCGATCACTATCAGTTCGGCCAGGACCGCCAGTGCTACGTGGAGACGGGGGAGGCGCTTGCGCGGGGCCTTCGGCCCGCCGCGCCGGCGGCGCCAGGCCCTGGTCTCGGTGACGGGGGCCCAGGCGCGTTCGTGCCCGTTGAGGGCGCCGCCCCCTTGGTGGAGAAGTGGTTTGCGCTGGAGGGCCGAGGTGCCGTGCAGCGGGGCGACGCTCTCACGGCCGCGCTCGGGTCGGTCGAGGTCAGCGCCAACGACTGGTGCCTCTTCAAGCTGCTCGACGGCGCGGTGCTGACCGGCGGGCTCGAGGGCACGCTGCCCGCGGCCCCTGGCGGTGGGGGAGGTGACGACTCCCGCATTCTGCCCGCCAAACAGGACGGCCAGCGGCGCTTCCGGCGCAGCTTCGCGAGCGCCTTGCAGGACATGCAGCTCGTCGAGTTCAAGGATAGCCGGGAAATCGAGGGCCCTCGTTCGGCCTACTTCACGGCGGAGCGGATCCACGACGGGAGCCACAGCCCCGTCCAGCGGCACTACTGGTGGCGCTCGGTGACGGGCCTGTCGGCCACCGACGTGGGCGTGGACGAGCACTTGCTGCTGTCCCAGCTCATCGAGGTCGCGATGACGGTCCACCAGGTGCAGATCTGCAACTCGGCGACTTTCGAGCTGATCAGCCGCCGGTACTAGATGTGGGAGAGTGCGTGCAAGGACTTACTTCGCGAGGTGGACACCGGCGGCTCGGGCGGTGACGACTGGCTGAATGAGCGTTCTCTCTTTCTCGGTGTCAAGAATCTTCGGAGTAGCGCGATCATCGTGCCCGAGCTGGAGGACTTCGTGGCGCAGGAGTTGGCCCCCCGGGCCGCTGCGCCCAAGGAGCGCCGCAAGGCGAGGGAGGAGGCTTCGCTTACTAGAGGAGTTGGGGCGGGACCTGCAGCGGCCGAATCGAAGCAGAAGCCCAAATGTCCCAACGAAAAGATGGAGAAGGCCTGACGGCCGACCTTCCTCCTGTCTTGTGCCGCCACGAGGGGGAGTGCCCCGCCTCCTCGAAGGCTTTCGCGAGGGGTTCAGGGCTGGCAGGTGGGGCCGCCCTGAGTTCTCAGCTTCGCAGCAGATGAGGCAGCGCGACGTCCTGCCGATCTCCCTGGCCGCCGCCTCGGAGGTCTGTGCTGGAGGTGCCAGCGGGCTGGGCTTGTCCCAGAGTCAGCGACGGCGGCTTCGGCGTCGACGGGCCCAGGAGGGGTGGCTGTTCGTGGGCATCCGCGCCTGGAATGAGCTGGGTGCGCTGCAGCCGCCTTCTACTTCGCCTGCATCGTTGACTTCAGCTCAGGTCTCAGCCCTCCGACACCTTGCCAGGCAGTGTGGATCGGTCGCGGCTCCCCCGCCTGACTGCGGGAGCGCCCTGGGAGCGTGGCAGTCGCTCCAGGGCTCGAGGCCCGGCTACACGGACGACGTGTTGGCCGTCGGTGCTCGCGCGAACTTCGAGCGAGGGAACGTGTCGCTTCCCGCGGGGCTTTCTGGGCGAGTATCTCTGAGTGAGTGCCTGCCGCCTGCCCTGCAGTCCGCGCTTGAAGATCGTTCAATCCTTCTTTCTGAGGACGAGGCTGCCGCCCGCCGTGAGAGTTTTGATGGCAGCCTGTTCCTTGATCCTGTTCTGCGGGACAACCCTAAACTTTTTGGAGGGTTCGTTTCCGAGCTCTGGGAGGCTGGCGTTGTGGAGGTCAGCGACGATGTGCTCGAAGAGAGCGGCATGTTTTTCATTCGAAAAAAATCAGGCGCCCTTCGCCTGATTTGGGATACTCGTGTGCCTAACCTTCGGTTTCGCGAGCCCCCTGGTGTGGTCTTGCCCTCCGGCGAGGCCCTTGCTCATCTCGAATGCCAGCCTCATGTGATTCCCGTGCTGCACGGGGGCGACGTTGAAGTTTGCTATTTCCAGTTCGCTCTCCCTGAACAGTACCGGTGTTTTTCGGCCTGCCATCCCTTCCCATTGCGCACCTGTCCCCGTCCCTCGTCGCTTCTCTGCCGGACGCGGTTCGGGATCGTGGTTGGGCTCGCGTGCGGGCCCGTGCGGTGCCGATGGGTTGGAATTGGGCTGTGGCCCTTGTACAGGCCGCGAACCAGTACCAGCTAGATGGAGTCTCCCTCGAGGTCCCGTGGCTCCCGCTTCCACCTCTTGGCGACGTTGGGTCGCTTCGCGGATTGTATATCGACAACTTCGTTCCCCTGGCCCATAGTAAGTCGGTTGCTACCTCGGGCGTCCAGGGGATGCAGTCTCGGCTCGTGGACCTCGGGATCGCGTCGACCCTGGAGAGCTCGGAGGCGGGGGACAATGACTTCATAGGTTTCACACTGGTGGGCTCCTCGAGTGAGTGGCGTCCTAAATCTAGTCGGTTCTGGTGGTTGAAGTTGGCGTCTGATTATCTCTTGGAGTTTCGACCGAGTATCACGGGGCAGGAGCTCGAGCGTTTCGTGGGCCATGTCACGGCATTGTTTTCGCTGTCCCCTGAACTCTTGTGCCTCATGGAAAAGGTCGATGTGTTCATTCACGAGAGTTACACCCGCCGTCAGCCTCTGTGGCCGTCTGTTCATCGCGAGGTTCGGTGGATACGTGCTCTGCTTCCGCTGGCGCGGGCGTCGATGCGTCGGCCCTGGTCGAGTCGGGTCTTCGGCTACGACGCCTCCTGCTGGGGCTTTGGAGTCGGGTCTGTGCACTGGGGGCCGGGTGAGGTCGCCGCCGTGGGCCGCGTTCGTGAACGGGCCTGGTTTCGTGGCCTCCTCAGTGTCTCGGAGGCGCCGCGGTCCCGGGCTTTCGAGCATCAGGAGGAGCTGGAGATCGCTGGAGCTCCGGAGGCCAACGCCCTGGGCCTGGGTCGGGCCTGGGCGTTTGTCGAGGTCCCGGCGGACCTGGTCGAGCGCGGCTGGACTGCGGCCTACGCTGGCCGCTGGAGAGGGGCCCCGGGGCCCCAGGTCCAACTTGAAGCTCGGGCCCGGACCTGGACGGCACGCCATGTTGCTCGGGATTGCAGTCTTCATAACTCTCGAGTGTTTCTCTTGGGTGACAATATGTATGTGATCCTTGCGCGCGCCAAGGGCAGGTCGTCTACGCCGGCCATGAACTTTCAGTGCCGGCTCACCTCGGCCACCGCCCTCGCCGTCGGGCTCAAGCATTACGACCGTTGGGCCCCATCGGAGCTCAACGCCCTGGACGCTGCGAGCCGAGTTCACCAGCCTCGACATGGGGGCAAAGCGGAGGTGGCAGTCCATGTCCGGCACCGGCTGCCTGCCGCCGGCGCGGTTGCTGCTTGCGGCCCCGTCCGACTCCGACGTCGAGGGCGCTGCGGGCCTGGGCTCCTCCAGCAGCCGCTCCGCCGGCGCGCCGACGGCCCGCGGCCCCGTGAGCGCCGGTCCCTCTGGGCCGTGCGCCCCTGGGGGTTGCCCGCCCATCCGCTTTGGTGGACCGCGGCGGGCTGTCCGCTCGGCCCGCTCTGGCCCGGGCGCCCGCCGGGCCTCGAGCCGCCTGGAGCGCCTCCGATCGGCGACGCGGGCGCGGCTGCGGCTGTTGGCCCCGCTGTTGACCGGTCTGCAGCAGGAGCGCGTCCGCCCGGCGACGCAGGCGGGTTACTGCGACGTGCTGGAGCCGCTGGCCGACTTTCTGGGGCGGCGGCCGCTGCCCACCTTGTCGGGCCCGCAGTGAGACTCGCTCCTCTTCAACTTCGTGGAGCGGGCGCGGGGCGAGGGCTGGTCGCGGGCGCTGGCCTCCCGGCTGCTGGCCGCCGTGGTTTTGTCGCAGCCCACGCTGGGCGGCCCACTGCGTCAGGTCTGCCCTGGCGCGCATGCGGCCATGCTGGGCTGGCGCCAGCTGGAGCCCGCTCACAGTCGCCCACCTGCCCTCGGGCGTCGTGCTGGCCTTGGCGCGGGCGATGCTGCCCGAGTGCCCTGTGGGAGCCCTCGCCATCATCGTCACGTTCGAGACGTACATGCGCCCCTCGGAGCTCCTGAGTCTCACAGTTGGGCAGCTGGTGCCGCCTACCGCGTCTCGGGGCCAAGGAGCGTTCTGGGGCTTTTGCGCCCACGTGGAGGAGTTGGGCCGGCCGTCCACGACCCGGGAGTTCGACCTGAGCGTGCTCCTCGACTTGGACCGCCACCGTCCGCTCATCCCGGTGCTACAAGCGCTGCAGGGCGGGCGCGCGAGCCGGGAGCCCCTCTTCGACGTCAGCTCGAGGCAGTTGTACCGGTCCTTTGCGCTGGCCGTGGAGCACGCGGGGGTCTCTTGCATCGAGCCGAGCCTCTACGCGCTGCGGCACGGGGGCGCCAGAGGTGCAGCAGAGGGGCCACTGGCGCAGCTTCCGGAGCGTCGTGCGCTACGACAAGCACGCGCGGGTCTCCTTGCAGCTCGGCAAGCTTTCCGCGGCGCTGAGAAACCAAATTTCGGCTCTGGTCGACCGCGGCCTCACGCCCTTCGCCGTGCATTGCGCCAGGCTTTTGCACAGCCGCAGCCGCACGGCCGCAGGGTCTTCTTAGACTTGTTCGCAGGGGCGGGAGGCCTGGCTTCCCCACTTGCTGATCTCAACGTCGCGGTCGTATGCATCGATATCTGCCATGGGCATGCTCACGACTTGTAGAATACTGACGTTTTCAACACCTTGCTCGGCTGGATCCGCTCGGGTCTTGTGTTGGGAATGCGGGCAGGCACTCCGTGTCAGTCGTTCACGATGGCTCGCCGTGCTCCGCAGGGGTCTCGTCTTCCCCATCGGCTGCGCAGTCCTCAATGCCCCCTTGGCCTTCCGAGTCTTGATTCACGCGATCAGGTGACAGTCTCTGAAGGTAACGTGCTTGCACATCGCTCCGGTGTTCTCCTAGACGCTTGTATTCAGCGAGGGCTACCCTGTGGTGAAGAAAACCCAGCTCAGTCCTACTTGAGGCTGGGCCACCAACGTCCAGCTATGATGCGGCGGTCCGAGTGCACGTCTTATGTCATCGACTATTGCGCTTTCGGCACGCCGTGGAGAGCTCGTACTCGTCTCAACTCGTTTAATATCAAATGTCCTACCCTGGATGCAGCCAAATGCCGTGGCAGGGGGGCTTGCAGCTTTTCAGGAAAACCACGCTACCAGTTGGACGGGCCCACGGGAAAAAGGGGGATTCTCGACACGTCAGAAGCAGGTTTATCCCGAGAAGCTGTGCCTCGTGCTATCCAAGGCTATCGCCTCGTCCCTCAGCCTCTTGCGTGTGCACGAACTGTGGCCAGCTTTCTCCTCTCTTCCCTCTTCCCTTCCCTCCTCCTTTCCTTCCTCCCCCCTTTTCTAACTTGAGGGCCTCGGGGGGGGGGTCCTGCAGCAAGAACCAGGCTAGTAGGATTCGTCGAATGAAATTCGCCATTCCAGTGCTGTATGCGGGTGTTCTGTATAAGGGCAGATTTGGTTTGAATATGCTCACTCGTTCACCGCAAGCAGTGGTCTGGAAAAGAGCAGTCGGGGTCATATTTGTGACCCACGGTCATGGCCCGACCTCGTCATCCGTTTTCCGCTCTGTAGCGCTTTCTGGTTCACCCGAACCCTCCCACCCCCAAAAAGCCGGGACAGATCTGGTTTGAAGATGCTCACTCGCTCACCGCAAGCAGTGGTCTGGAAAAGAGCAGTCGGGGTCATGATGATGATGATGATCACGATAGTGGTGATGGTGGTGGCGATGCTGCTGACGACAATGATGTGGATGCTATGGTGATGGTGCTGTTGGTTATGATAGTGATGGTGGTGGTTGTGGTGATGTTGATGGTGGTGGTGATGCTGATGATGATGGAGATGATGATGGCGATGACCACAACGACTGCGATAGTGATTATGATGATGGCGCATATGATGCTGATGACGATGACGATGTCGATGCTTATGACGACGATGATGATATTGATGACGGTGGTGATGAGGATGGCGATAACGATGTCGATGATGCTGACGATGCTGATGATGATGACGACGATGACGCTGACGGTGACGGTGATGGTACTGACGATGAAGGTGATGATGATGACGGTGACGACGTGGTGATCATGATGATGACGCGGATTCTCACTTTGAGGACGACGACGATGATGATGACGATCATCATGATGATGATGATGATGATGACGATGACGACGTGGTGATCATGATGCTGATGATGATTTTGACGCTGAGGACGACGACGATGATGATGACGATCACCATGATGATGATGATGACGATGATGATGATGACGATGATGATGATGATTGATGGTGCTGATGATGTTGATACTGAGGCTGATGACGATGCTGCGGATGATGCTGATGATGATGAGGATGATGATGAAACTCGTTAGGGCTGACGTGGGGCTATCTGGGCCTCATAAGAGACAGTATTGGGGGTCCTTCAGAGCCCCCTTGGGCCGTCTTGGGGCCATCTATCGGTTTGGGGCTCTCTTGTGCCATCTTGGGGGCAGCTTGGCTGGCCGTGCAGTGGGTGTCTGGGGGCCGTCGTGGGGCCGCCTCGGCGCTGTCTTGGGCCGTCGAAGGGCCTTCTTAGGCCGTCTTGGGGCCCACGGGAAGCCCGCTTGGGACCGTCTTGGGTGCCTCTTGGGCCATCGTGGCATTCTCGTGGGCTGTCTTGAGCTCACGGCAGCCCGAAAAGACGAGAAAATCCCAATCATTAAAAACCCTTGGGGAATCAATGATTTCGGTTTCTTCGGACCCTGTTGCAGGTCCTCTTGTAGCCATAGTGATGCCTCTTGGAGGCAGCTTGCGCCATCTTGAATCAATATTTGGCCGCTTTGGGGCATGCTGCGCTGTCTTTGAGATATCTTCCTTGGTTGCCTGCATGGGCCGTCTTGGAAATTCGGAACGCATATCAATCGTTTTTCACGAGGGATCGTGACTTGGGAGGCCCTGGAGCGCTTGGGAGCAGCGCCTGGGAATGCGGAAAGTGCACGATCCTCGAGCGGGTACGCGTGGGATGAGGTGTCTAGGAATTAGGAGCCATGCGGGAAGTGCACCCTACTCCACCGGGCGCAAATGGAATGACGATTCAGGCTTTAGCTGCCATGCGCGAAGAGAACCATCCTCGAGCGGCCACGCGTTGAAGGGGGGTTTAGGCATTAGCTGCCAACCGGGAAGTGCACAATACTTGAGCAGGCACGCGTCGATTGGGGGTTGAGGCAGTAGCTGCCATGCTGGAAGTGTACCATCCTCGAGCGGACACGGGGGAAGTGGTCTTGGAAAGGAGGACGTTGCACGCACGAGTCTACAAAAGCCCCACCAGACAGACCTTGGCATAACATGCCAGGGGGCACGGTGGCGGATGGAGCCGTCAAAGGTCCACGCACCTGCGCTATCAAGACCTCCCGGTGCTGGGTGACGACGAGTTCCGCGTCGTGGATCGAGACGCCCCTTTCGGTCAGTCGAGGGGGCGCTACGCCATCAACACCGCGTACAGAGTCGGTAAGGGGCTGGACAGTTCTGGCGACGTGCACAGGTTGTACAGCGAAGACTTTTACCATACCTTCTTGGACGCCAAGCTCCGTATCCAGCTGCTCATCTTCGCATTTGCTTATGTTGGTTGCTTCGTGTTATTCGCTCTTGTGCACCTGGCGATCGACGATCGGTGTGGGCTTGAGCTGGATGGAAACTTCTGGAAGGCGTATCTACTGTCACTGGAGACAATGGTGACCATCGGCTATGGCGTCCCCGACCCTTACATGGAGGGATGCTGGGAGGGAGCCGCCACCCTGACAATTCAGAGCCTGCTGCAGCTCCTCATCACATCCTTCCTCATCGGCGTCATTTTCCAGCGCATCGCCCGACCCCAGGCCCGCGCCGCCACAATCCTCTTCAGCGACCACGCGGTGATCAACCGGTACGCGGCGACGCGCGTCTCGCAGGAAGGCGCGGCGGCCTTGAGACGGAGGGCCCTTCTCAGACACCCTCCTGCCTTCCGAGCAGACTTCTTCGAAGTTTCCAAGAAGGCCACATTTGCCCTCTCAGGGTGCCGCCCCCCTTTGCGCCGATTGTTGGCATGCTGGGCCGTCTAGATGATCCCCGCAGGTTGTGCCAGCCTTCAGGCCAGCGCGTGCCCAAAGCCGTTTCGAGCCCGATCGATCTGTGAGGATCCCGGGGCCGCCCGCCTTGTGCGCGCCGCCGAGTTAGAGGCACCAGCACACCATCACCGTGTCTGGCCAGGGCGGGCGGCCTCGAGACCATCCCGGGCCCCAGGTGGTGTTCAGACCCTCCTGGGCCTCGGCCAGGAGGGTGCACGTACAGGGGGGGCCCATGCCAAGGAACACCCTGCTTGCCTCCAGGGGGCCCTGGATTGCTTGGGTTTCGAGGGTTTTCCCATGGATAGCGTGACCTTCCCACACCAAAAATCGGTGGACGCGCTGGGGTCTCAGGGTTGGGTTCTTGTGGAACGTTTCTTGTGGACTGGCCTCCACTGTACTCCATGCCCGGACCCAGGGCGGGCCTGGCCGGGCACGGTGGTGCTGTGTGCAGGTGCCCTCCGCGCCAGGTACGACGGCGCGCACTACCTCGTCTTCCGCGTGTGCGAGCTCCGCGTGCAGCACGCGTTGATCGAGCCTCACGTCCGTTGCTACTGCGCCTGTAGGACGGGCTCACGGCTGGACCGCCCTGGCCCGGCCGACGCGGCGGGACTGCCGCCCCGTGGGGACCTCGGCGGGCGCCAGTTGCGCACCGGCACCGATCCTGACCAGGCCAGGCCCAGGCTGGGCCTGGCCAGCATCGGAGCAGGCGTAGAGCTGGCGCCCTCCCAGGACTGGGAGTTCGTGCCGATGCGGCCGTCAGGGGCGGCCTAATCGACCCCTGGCAAGCCATTCCCTTGCGTGACGTCCCTCGTCATTTTCCCTGTGTGTTTTCAGGATGTTTCGGCGACCCGGGGCCACGGGGCCCCAAGAGGCTGCAGGGAAGCCCCAGGAGGCCGCAGCGACGGCTCCAGACGCCTTTCACGACGACTCCCATGACGCCAAGAAGGCCCCCGAAGGCCCCGAAGACGCCCCAAGAGGCACCCCGAGAGAGCCCCAACAAGCAAAAATGTTGATTTCCTATGGGGAAACTGATATTTTTGGCGTGTTCGCCTTTTGGGCTTCCACTGCGTCCAAGACGGCCCAAGAGGCCGAGGCCCCCGAGAGACCCCCAGGAGGCTCCCAAGAGGTACTCCCATAGAGCCCCGAATGAGTAGCTTCCACTGCGTCCAAGAGGGCCCAAGAGGCACCCAAGACGGTCGAGGATGCCCCCAAGAGGGTTCCAAGACGGCCCACGAGGCGGTCAAGACGGCCCACGAGACGCCTAAACCGCTCAACAACGCCCCAAGGCGGCGCCCAAGACGGGGACGAAGAACCGAAAATGTGAGCCATTCGGCTCAAGAGGCCCCCAGGAGACCCCAAGAGGCTCCAAGAAGCTCCAAGAGGTCCCCAAGAGACCCGCAAAAACACAAAAGAGTTCCCGAACACGCCCCAAGGGGCACTCCAATAGAGCCCCAATGAGCCCCAATAAGCAATAAGGAAAACTGATTTGTTTGGCGTGTTCGCCTTTTGGGCTTCCACTGAGTCCAAGACGGCCCAAGAGGCCCCCGAGATTGCCCCACAGGCTCCCAAGAGGGCTCCAAGACGACCCCAAGAGGGTCCCAAGACGGCCCGAGAGGCCCCCAAGACAGCCCAAGAGAGCCCCAGGACGAGCCCCAGAGGGGTCCCAGAGGTGCACAACCTCATTTACATTCCGAGCTTTCGGCCCCAGAGGCTCCCAAGAGGCCCCAAGAGGTCCCCGGGAGGCCCCAAGAGGCCCCCCAGAGGCCCCAAGTGTGAATGATATGGAGATTGACCAGTCTTCTCTCTTCTCCGCACGCAAGCTCCGCGGAGTCGAGCAGTATGAGAGGTCTTGGCGATCTCGCACACTCAGCTGTTGATATCAGGGAACCGCCCAGGGAAACATCTGATAACGTGTTATCGCTGATAGCTCAAAACGGAATCCCCTGAAATCATTGAGAGAATGGCCACAACATCTATCATGCTGTCTCTGCTCTCCAGCTACTGATCTACTGCGTTTCTAGCTGCACAGATACGGGCAAATCACAGCCATCTTCACACAAGAGACCCCCAGGAGGCTCCCAAGAGGCTTTTAATAGAGCCCCAAAGAAGCAACCATCGTCGATTTCCTATAGGACAACGGATCTGTTTGGCGTGTTCGCCTTCGGGACTTCCACTGCGCCCAAGACGACCCAAGAGGAAACCAAGAGGGTCGAGGATGCCCCCAAAAGGGCTCCAAGACGGCCCACGAGGCGGTCAAGACGGCCCACGAGAAGCCTAAACTGCTCAACAACGCCCCAAGTCGGCGCCCATGACGGGGACGAGGAACCGAAAATGTGAGCCATTTGGCCCAAGAGGTCCCCAGGAGACCCCAAGAGGCTCCAAGAAGCGCCCAAGAAGCCCCAAGAGGTCCCCAAGAGACCCGCAAAAACAAAAAAGAGTCCCCGAACACGCCCCAAGGGGCACTCCAATAGAGCCCCAATAAGCAAGAAATCGTTGACTTACGATCGGAAAACTGATTTGTTTGGCGTGTTCGCCTTTTGGGCTTCCACTGCGTCCAAGACGGCCCAAGAGGCACCCAAGCCGCTCGAGGATGCCCCCAAGAGGGCTCGAAGACGGCACACGAGAGGGCCAAGACGGCCCCCGAGGCGCCCAAACCGCCCAAGAACGCCCCAAGGCGGCGCCCAAGACGGGGACGAGGACCAGGAAATTCGCGCTTTTTGGCCCAGGAGACCCCCAGGAGACCCCAAGAGGCTCCAAGAAGCGCCCACTCCCCAAGAGGCCCCCATGAGACCCGAAAAAACACCAAAAGAAGCCCCGAAGACGCCCCGAGAGGCACCCCAATAGAGCCTCCCCCGGCCCCGGTTGCCACACCTCCCCGTGACATCTCGGGAACGCTCCTGGTACCGTTCCCTCGGGCGTTCCGGGGGGGCTCCACAGCGCTCCAGGAAGGCCCGAGACGCCTCCAAGGAGCCCCTAGAATGCGAAAGGATGGTCCAAAACGCTCCCAAGCAGCCCAAGTCAGCCTTCCGACAGCTCTCGAGGCTCCCAGGGAACCTCCAAGAGATTCCAAGAGAAGTCCGATAGGCGTCCAGGGACGGACCGAAGAGGCCAAAATCGCAGATTTTCATTGTTTTTTTAATGTGTTTGGCTTCTCGCGTTCTCGAGCTTCTAACGGTCCAAGAGCGCCGACGAGGCTCCCAAGACCGCCCCAAGACCACCGAAGAGACCCTCAGGACGGCCCCAAGACGGGCCAAGAAGGCTCCAAGACTGCCGAAGAGGCGCCCAGGACAGCCCCAGACCACTCCGGAACAGGCCCACGATGGGGCCAAGAGCGGGAGCAGGAGGCTTCCAGAGACCTCCGAAAGGCCTCCGGGACCACCCAGAGGCCCCCAACACACCCCCGATCCCTGAGAGGCCCCAGAGGGACCCCGACGAGGCTCCAAGGACAGCCCAAGAGAGCTGCGAGAGCCGTCCCGACAGAGCCCAAAGAGGGTAAAATCGTTGATGTCCCATGGTTTTTCTAATGTATTTCGCCTTCTCACGTTTTCCCGCTTCCAACCCTCGAAGATCGAGGATTTTGAAAACAAAGGGAATTCCCAGAATCCCCCCTTTCTTTCACAGTGGGACTCCTACTCGGGGGTCCTACACATCCCCTGACATCTGGCCGGTACCGCGCCTCCCAGCTTCCCTGGGGGGAGGCCCCAAGTCGCCGAAGGACAGCCCATGACGGCCCTAAGGAGCCCCCAGAACGTAAAGAACCGCCCAACAAGCTCCCGCGCAGCCCGCGACACCCTTCCGACGGCTCTCCAGGCCTCCAGGAGGGCTCCAGAACCCCCAGGGGGTCCGGAAGATCCCACACCCCTGACGGGCGGGGCTAACAAAACCCGCGAGGCACAAACAAAAAAGAAGCGCCGAACAGTGCCGAGGAACTGGAAAAACATGGAAATCCCACAAGTCGTGTTTTCTTTCAAGTTGGGTTTCCAGTCTACTCTTGCACAACAGACCACAATTCAGACCCCCATCACCTCCCAATGAAGAACCCAGGAAGCCTTTGAGGGTCCCAAATCGTTGAGTACCGAAAGGACTGGACTGCTACCTGCGTGTTCGCGTTTCCCCTTTTATACGATTCCGAGGTTTGCGCAGGGCCTCCAAGGGAGTCCCCGGACGCAAGACGCGACCAACATGAGATGACATGAGTTAGCCTATCAAGCCTAGCTAGAACTTGAGCGCGCGCGAAGCGCGCGCAATGGTTCTAGTATGAATGTATGTAGATGCATGTGCATGTATGTGTGTATGCATGTATGTATGCATGCATGTTTGCATGCATGCATGTATGTATGTATGTGTGTACTTATGTATGTATGTGTACGTATGTGTGTTTGTTTGGTTGTCTGTCTGTCTGTCTGTCTGTATGTATGTATGGATTTCTGCATGTGTGCACGTATACGTGTATGCATGCATGCATGCATGCATGCATGCATGCATGCATACACATGCGTATGCATGTATGTATGCTTGTATGTACGTATGTATGCATGTTTGTATATATGTTTGTATGAACGCATGTATACATGTATATATGTATGTATGTAATGTATGTATGTATGTATGTATGTATGTATGTATGTACGTACGTACGTATGTATGTATGTGTGTATGTATGTATGTATGTATGTACGTACGTATGTATGTATGCATGCATGCATGCATGCATGCATGCATGCATGTATGTATGTATGTATGTATGTATGTATGTATGTATGTATGTATGTATGTGTGTAGGTGTGTATGTGTACGTAGACATGTAGGTATGTAGGTATGTGTGTATGTATGTATGTATATGTGTCTGTAGGTATGTATGTATGGGTGTATGGTTTTATGCATGTAGGTATGCCTGTCTGTATGCATGTATGTATGCATACATGCATGCATGCATGTATGTTTGTATGGGTGTGTGTGTTTGTATGCTTGTATGTATGCCTGTCCGTATGCATGTATGCATGTATGTATGTATGCATGTGTGTCTGATGTAGGTGTGTATGATGTATGTGTGTAGGTAGGTATGTCTGTGACGTCATCCTGTGTGCAGTGGCCTCGCTCCAGGAACTGTGCGTGCGGCCGGAGGGGAGCTCGGAAGGCGAGGAGGACGTCACGCAAGGGGATGGCCTGCCAGGGGTCGGTAAAAGGCCGTGCCCGAGGCTGGACCACCCCGACGACGAGTTGGGTGGGCCTCTCCTCCTGACGCTGCCCACCCGGGTCATGCACCGCATCTCGAAGAAGAAAAAACGCTATAACCATAAACTTTAAGCGCTCCGCGCGGATCTCTTGGATCCGCGCCCGGGCCCCCTTGGCGGCGCCTCCGGCGCCGCCCCTGGCACGCTCCCCGCGCCAGGGAGGGGGGGTTTGGCGCGGGCGACGCGGACCCAAGAAATCCGCGCGGAGCGCCAAAAGTTTATGCTCATGTGGTTTTTTCTTCTTCTAGCATCGACCGGTGGAGCCCCCTCGCGCCGCCCCAGGCCAGCGGGAACGGCCAAGCACAGCACATGCGCAGCAGCTTATGTTTACCGTGGTTTATGATTATCGTGTTTTTCTATGTTGTGTGTAGCATTTTGTTCTTCGTCGAGCGTCGGGCCTTCCGAGAAGTGCTCTGAGGTCCCGCTGGAGACACACACGGAAGACGCAGCGGACTTTTGGGAAGTCCCGCCACCTTGAGAGAAGGCCTGCCCCCATTTCACCTCCCCCCTCCCCTCGGCGCGCCGCCGACTTCTAGTGCGGGCCCACCGGGGCCCCTGGATAGCGTCAAGTCGGGCATGTCCCTCTGCAGGAGGCAGATCCAAAGATAGTCAAAAGATAGCCTGGGGACGCCTGTTCCACCATTGTTCGACTATGTTTGAGCATTTGTTCTGCCATTGTTCCTTTGTCTTCCAAAGTCCGCCTGCACGAGGACGTGCCCGACCGAACGACAGCGGCGCGCCCTGCGACAGCAGCGGCCTGCGCGCCTGGGCTCGGCCCCCGCCGGCGCCGCCCCCAGCGCCACGGACCAGCGGCAGGCTCGTTGCCTCGGGGCTGCTCTCGTGCAGCCGACGTCCCCCGACCCGAGCGCGGCGAGCGCGCCCAGAGTCGGCGGACGGTCTGGGGAGAGAGGGGGGGGGGCGCAGAGAACTATGCACATGCACCGATCCTGGCAAGGCCCATCCTTGACCCAGGATCGGTGCATATGCCTTCCTGGCCAAGGTAGGAGGGCGTATGCACCGATCCTGGGCTCAGGTTTGGGCCTGGCCAGAATCGGTGTATGTGTATAGTTCTCTTTCCTCTAGGAGAGAAGGGGGGGAGTCTGGGCGTCGACCCCCCAAGATCTGGCGATCGCAGACATGGATCAGGGGGGCGTGGATTGGCGACGGGTCCCGCTTCCATGGGAATTCGCGGATTTCCGCCGCCGAGCGAGGCGGCACCGGCCGCAGTTTGGTGAGGGCCCCTCGCCCGATCCATGGATTTGGCGACCGCGCGCCAAATCCATGGATCGCTAACCCATGGGGAGTCAGTCCATAGAAGAAGAAAAAGCCACATGACCATGAACTTTTGGCGCTCCGCGCGGATTTCTTGGATTCGCGCTGGACCCCCCTCCCTGGCGCCGCCGGGAGGCCCAGGCGCGGATCCAAGAAATCTGCGCGGAGCGCCAAACGTTTATGTTTACGTGGCTTTTTCTTCTCCTTCTTCTAGTCCAGGCGTCGACCCCCCAAGAGCACCACAGCCCCCGCAGTTGCGGACAAGAGCGAGGGGGCGGTGGAGGTCGTCGGCAGTCTGCGGGGCTCTGCAGAGGCCCTCCGCAGGGGCCGCGGGTGGGTCGCGGGCGACGTAGGTCGCGGGTGCGTCGCAGTCAAAGCGACGTAGGTTGGTCGCGGGTGGGTCGCGGATTGGTCGTTCGCGGGTATGTCGCGGGTGGGTCGCGGGCGGGTCGCGAGCGAGGACGACGACAACCACACTTCAGCAGAATTCGCACCGCGGGGTCCCACTTCAGCCACGCACCCGGGGACAATGTAAGACCGACCGTTCGGCCCCCTCACTCTGGCATTCCAAGATTCCCCATATTTCCTAATGCTCCAGACGAGCTGCAGAAAAGGGGACCGATAGACACTCAGGGAATCCTGGGACGTATCCGAATCATGCAGTCATTCTCGTCCTAAGAGATCCGCGCGGACCTCCGAAAGCTGATTGTACCCAGAAGCGGCCGACGACGTTACGTGGAATTGAGAGCGCGGCCCCAGGCAGGTCAGGACCCCTTCCCTGGTAAGTGCTTTTCGGTCCAGACGCTTGTGTTGATGACCCCGGGGCCCGATGACGGGCCCCAGGGGGCCAGAATCGGGGAACAACGCGCGCCAGGATTGGACAAGTCAGCTCGTCGGTCCTCTGCGCAGTTTATGTTGGTGCGGCTTGTGCGGCCTGCCCTCCGGCAAAGGAACCGCCAGTGCCCGCTGGGGAGCATCGGGGGCGCCGACAGGGAGGGATTGGCGCAGAGGGGGGAGGGAACCTCGACCAACCCAATCTCGGCGGCGAGCGAAGGGGGGGAGTAAGGAGGAGAAGGCCCTCTCAGAAGGCGGCGGGACTTCTCAGAAGCACTCGCGCCTGGGGGAAAGCTTAAAAGACTTCTCAGAAGGGCTCGGGCACTTCCGAGCCTTCTGTCGAAGAAGAACGCCGTAAACGTAAACTTTTGGCTGGTGCTCCGCGCGGATTTCTTGGATCTGCGCTGGGCCGCCCCCCGGCGGCGCCTCCGGCGCCGCCCCTGGCGCGCTCCGCGCGCAAGGGACACTGGCCCGGCACGGATCCGAGAAATCCGTGCGGAGCACCAAAGTTTCATGTTTCTGTTTTGTTTTCGCTCTTCCAAAAGTTGCTCCCTTTTTGTACGGGTTGACTGTGTATCGTCGTGTGGGTCGTCGTCGCCGCCGAAAGAAAACGCTTCCTCCTCGAGCTGCCAGCCCCCCACGCGTGATGCGAGAGAAAAAAGAGCCGAGAGCAGAGCGGGGGGTGGAGGAGGAGAAGGGGGTTCGCGACACCACTGGGAAAAACCAAGGGAGGATTGGGAAACAAGGTTTCCCCCCGAGCTGCCAGCCCCATCCCAGGGCTTGACCTGGACTGTGGTTTGGCAATCTCGTGGGCCGTTTTGTGTTTCGTTCTGTTGCGCATGAAAGGCGAAGCGAAGGCAACACGAGGAAGAGCGAAGAACATAACGAAAACGATCGCACACCGTTGAGGTTCAGCCCTGCGGTGTGGGTCGTCGTCGCCGCAGAAATCAAGGGAGGAAAAGCCACGGACAACTGGCGGTTCTTAAACGGCTTTGGGCGCCGTGTTCAAGACAGCCCTGCCCTGCTCGGTTCCTCCAGTGGGGGCGTTTAGGAAACGGCCTCGCTCGTCGGGGTGGTTATTGTGGGGGTGGTCGTTGCTCCCTCCCGAGCTGCCAGCCCCATCCCTTTCGGCTCCCCCGCGGAGCAGGGCTGCCGTGCCCGCGAGGCCGCCGCGCGGCTCCGCGGGGCCGGGCGGCTGCCCGTCCCGC